CCTGCCCCCCCACCCTCCGTGCATTTGCCCCCAATACATTGCCCCCTCCACCCCTCATGCATTGCCCCAATCCCCCCATACATTGCCCCTGCAATTCTTTTGTGCTTTTCCCCCCATCCATCCCCCAAGCATTGCTCTTCCATCCCCCTGTGCATTGCCCCTCCAACTTCTCCTCTCTTTGCATTGCCCCTCCAACCTGCTGTGCATTTCTGCAAGCCCATCAGCCTCCCCATACATTGCCCCTCCAGTCCCGCTCATGCATTGCTCTTCCAGCTGCCTGTGCATTGCCAATTCAACCTCCCCTCCCCCACCCGTGCATTGCCCCTCCAGCCCTCCTGTGCATTGCCCCTATCCAGTTAATTCTTACGCCTCCATTTTCCCACCCTCTAAGGCAGGGGAGGGGAAGCTCAGGCCCTGGGCTGGATGCGGCTCCTAGCTTGTTAATTCTTCCTCCTCCATTTTCCCACCCTCTAAGGCAGGGGAGGGGAAGCTCAGGCCCTGGGCTGGATGCGGCTCCTAGCTTGCCTGGATCCAGCCCCCTAGGATTAAGGGCTCCCATCTCAGCATTGGGGAGCCCATGCTGGTGCTCCAAAAACTATTAGCCTGGACTAATAGATGCTCTGTTTCTCACTTATGCATGGTTTCCAACTGACGTTTCTGTGGGTCAGCAACCCCCAACCCAAAAACAGTTCCCCACCCCTACCCTAAGGCTTTCCATCCCCTGCATTGCACCTCCCACACCACAACAGCACCTTCAGAGCCCCAATCCCTTCACTCCTGCATTGCTCCTCCTGTCCCCAGTTCCTTCTTTATCCCAACCCCTCCACCCTCTGCAGTGCTCCTCCAGACCCCCCCAATTCCTGCATTCCCCTTAATACCCCCAATTAATTCATGCTTCTCCATTGCCCCTACTAGCAATTCATTCCTACTCCCATTGCCCCTCCATCCCCAGCACTGCCCATACCCCTCACTTAATTTCTACACATCCATTGCCCCAGCAGCCCCATGTCCTGCATTACCCCATCCCCATTCAATTCCTACCCCTCCATTACCTCCAACTCCTGCAGCTACTTCCACCCAGTTACTTTACCTCTCCTTCTCAGCCCACCCAGTTAATTCCTATCCCTCTTTCCACACTGCCTTCAGTTATCCCCAACCCATTTTATTCCTACCACTCACTCCATGCCCCCTAAATACCTGTCTTTCCATCCCCCCACATAGCTCCAGCATTCATGCTGCTGTCAATGCACTTACTTTCTCTCTCATTTCTCCAATTCACACTATCACCCTATATCAAATTAATCCTTCCCCATCTTATTTTATGTCACCCCTACAAACTTCATTTCCCCTCTCAAAACACAATTCATTTTACCAGAGCACCTTCCTGCCCCTGCCCAAAATTCAAATGGTTTTCCACTGGCACCTTTCTATTCTCTCCCCACCCCAGTTCAATCTATTTCTCCCCTGCAGCCTAAATAACATTCACAATTTTATTCCTCTTCACACCGCTCACGCCCAACATGCACACACCATTTCCTCCATGCACAACTCTTTCCGTCTCCCCCATGCAGAGATACCACTCACATAGATACAGGCACACCCATACTTCCTTCCTCCTCCCTTACAGGATGGGGCAATCTCCCCCAATCCTTTTCTATTTTGGGGCATAGGAGAAAGCATAAGGCTAGCCTTCGCACATCAATCTTACCCCAATTTCTCTCCCTTTGATTCTCACCCTCTCCTCATGCCTGATCCTAAGACATGGGAATGTCGATTTCAACTCCCCTATAGTCTCTCCTTCATCCACTGATTATTTCTGAAAATTGAAAAACCGAAATCAGCACATCCTTTTGATGCTTTAGGGCAAGGGGATTTTGCTAGCCACATGATGGCATTATGTCGTTAGACTCGCTGTGTTTGGCTCTGCTATCAGAGGAAAAAGCTAGATAATTCTTTTTTTTTTTTTAAATCTTTCGCCCTCTTCACAAATTCATTGTTGCATGAAATCATTCGCCCTCTTCACAAATTCATTGTTGCATGAAAGTTTACGTGGATTAATACTGCAAAAAGTGTATTGAGGGTGGACGAGGGGGGAGTTGTCTCTCCAGCAGTTTGAGAGCGGCAGAAGACAGCATGCAGCATAATCTATTTCAAATGTGTAGGATCAACCTTTACCATCCCCCTCAGCCCCACCTTTTGCATATTTGTTTAAGAAATGGCTACAAGATTTAATAGTTTACTTACCAAACGGCCGTCCAGGGCTTCCTGTTTGCCCAGTGTTTCTCGGTGTGTGTTTTTCCCTTTTGTAGGTGGGGATTCTGCAGTGCTGCACAGACACACTGCAGCAGCTCCAAAGCTGGAGGATAGTAAAGTGTGTTACTTACTACAGAGGCTCTATATTGCCACTAGGCGCTGGCAAGAGGAAAGCATTTTCTTAAAGAGACATGATTCTTCTTCATCCCCGCCTCCCCCTGCTCCCTTTAACTTTTACTTCACAAAACATGGGAAACTGTAGGAGGTTGGACTGGGAAAATGCATAAACAGAGGAGGTCAAGGTTAATACTGAGTGAGTAATTGAGAAAAGGCTTGAGCATGACTCAATGAATAGCTGGAATTGCCCACTCTCAAAAGAACATTTGCTACTTTTCAGACAAACTTTATCAACTGCCATAAATGCTGCCTGAATATTTTCCTTGACACCTTTACTACTTAAAATGAGGACTCCTATGGCACCTTAGAGACTCCTTGTTGTTTTTGCAGATACAGACTAACACGGCCACCTGTTAAATCCCTGTGTAGGGGTAAAGAACAGTGACCAATATGTTGCTTTAAGGACAGGCCCTCCAAAGGGAGGAACAAATGGGGCAATTGCCCAGGGGCCCAGCTGCTCCCGCCGGCTGGAGCCCTGGAACCCTTCAATTACCACCAGGAGCACCATGTCAAGTGCTCTGGGAGGGTCTGAGGGGCACTGGC